TGCAATCTTCATAATGCATATGATAAATATGATTAGTTTATGTAAATACTTTGTAATATTATACGACAAATAAACGTACAGTGCACTGTACGTTCAGAAATTATTGGAAATGAAACTGGTTACTGAATATTGAAAAGTAGTATAAACATATATATGAAACAAAAAAGACTGGGAAGACAGTAAAGACTGAGAATGTCAAGAAAACTAGATACATGTTCCTCCGTTGATAGGCTTCTAATTATGCGTTTGAGTCGAACTATCAGAATCAGATGGAAAGTTAATAATTTTATGTATATAAAGGATTTCCACGTTGGGTGTCAACAAATAGCACATTGTCACCCCGAAATATTCTAGCTAGAGAACAGTATTTAATGGAATGCCAAAAGACTAAATTTGGGCACCCTTGCAGTCTCGCCATATGTAAATTTACCTTCTCAGTCCTCTATCTTCATTGATTTTTTTATTTCGACGGTACCAACATTTGTATAGTGATAAAATACATAACTGTTACTGAAGTGCATTTTACTTCACATGTTTCATTCCTCGACCATGAGTTGCGCGTCTCAACGCGACCTTCATAAAGCACGTAAATTGTGATATTGACTGTAATAAAAATGTCTTATAAAATATTAACCAAACTAAGTAATTTACTAGAGTGAAAATTGTATCTTTTGTAACAATTCGATCCACTATGTATATATGACTCATACATATTTATATTTGGTTATCGTTTGCAATTAATTGAGACTTCCATAACATCACTCCAAACAATGACTGCACAAACACTCATTCTACCGTCATATCTTACTTACTTATTTTCTGTTTTATTTTTGTTACTAATTTGACGGTGCATACATAGTCGTTTATTCTTGTTCTATGTTCATAAACACACATATTAAACTGTTTGCGTATTTCACGTCTTTATTTTTATTCCCTTAATCTCTCTTTTCTTTATTTAACGTCAATTTAATATTCTTCTCAATTACACGTAACGTGATTTATTATTATTATTATTCAATTATTATTACTCTCTTTTTCAAATATCTCAACTATAGTGCTGAAATTATTAAAACTTGTTTATTATTGCATTTTTGACGAAACACGAAATGGTTTCTTCACAACACTTATGTACCCATAAGATATTTGTGAATATTATTAGTAATAATAGTGCCCTTTGAGGCTTAGCAAACGAAGAGTACGATTCTTCATGACAATAGGTTATTTGTATACTTTTGGGACTATTTGTGGAACAGACTGATTGGCAATGAACGAAAAAAAGTCCACAAGTACAACAAAGTCTCACTCTTTCACTAGGTGTTCATTCCTTTTCTCTCTCACGTTTTTCCTACTAGATAAATATTATTCTTAAGATTCAGAAGCTTGTTATTAAGACAATAACTTGCGTCATACCCAAATTATCTTCTCACACTCTTTTTATCTTCACTGTGTATATATGACATATATATTATTACTTGGATATCCTTTGCAATTAATTGAGCCTTTCATAGCATCACTCCAAACTACGACTGCACAAACACTCATTCTGCAGTCATATCTTACTGCACTATTAAGTTATTTTCTTAGTTATTTTTTGTTTTATTTATTTCGTATTATTTTATCTTTGTTACTCATTTGGCGATGCATACATAAACACGCTTATTAAACTATTAACGTATTTTGCGTCTCTTTTATTTTCTCCCTTTCCTCCCTTAAATTCAACTCAATATTTTTCTCAAGTTGAGTTCTGGAATCTTGAAGTTGAACAACGGAAAGAGATCGACCAAACCAAATTTATTCGTTTTGCAGTACAAAGGATTCAGAGTCGGATTTGTGTCATAAGGACAGAGAGCCTACGGCCTATGTTATTGCTTTTCTTGTAGGTTTATAGGAGTGTTTAACCTTTTCTTAAATGAGTCGATTGAATATGCGCACATCATCGTTTCGGGTAACAGATTCCAACAATTGATTACCCGATGTTAGTATCAGTATGCCACAGGTATGTTGTTCGTTCTTGGATTTTCCACTCGCTTACTGTGTGCTCTGGTGTGTCTCGACCTGTTGGAAAGAAAAACAAAAGGATATATTAAGTCCGAAATCATTTCTTAGTATTCTATACAACAAAACCAGATCACACCTTATTTTGGGATAGAACAAAGTAAGGAGGTCTGTCTTTTCATACCGCTCTCTTTATGGCGAACCCCGTAGTTTTAGAATTACACGAACAGCTGCATTCTGTAGACCTGACATTATATCCAAAGTAGACTTCAATAGACTCTGCATTTCCTGGTCATCCTCTGTTATTTCAGATCCAATCCTTCCCGGTAATTAGGTTAAGAATCTAACACTACGTCCTTGTTCTCTAATATATAAACGGGAATATTCCTTTAGAAAGCTTGATTACGTATTGAGCCAAGTTCATTTCAATTGTTCATTGAACTTGCCGGATCGTAATTACGCATGTATTTCGCATCAACCTATAGTGTCCCGTTATTTTTGTTGTACCAGTGGTAATGGCGATTTCCAATATTTTATTTTTTTTTAGTAAACGTCAAATAACCCGGTCTAGCCCAGATTAGCTGTGTTTCTCATTTATAGGGGCTGTTCAAGGTATAAAAGGATAGGTTATTTTTTTACAACTGCATAACCGCATAAGTGCTTCTTAAAGTTAGGAGGGAAATTATTTGAGTGGCACCATCACTGTGTGTGAAGACTGGGTCCAAGAGACGAGATTTTTAGGTCATATCTCATAGGATCTTTGATGTTCCGGAATAAATATAAGGTCGCCTAATATAACGTCTTTACCGCTATTACACCAAGACTTAAGTTTGCTTAAGAGGACGTTTTTTTCTACACATTCTGGACTGTGGTATACTACAACGAATTCCTTGTCCTGTCATTTACATTTCAACCCGCAAAACATCACATGTCCCTGAATCGTGTGCCACTGTCTCGACAGCTGGTATGGTTAATGTATTTGCCGTGTACAGGATAATCCCACCTCTCTTATCTTTTAATGTGTCAGCTCTACTGGATAAAAAGCAACCAACTGAACTTCATCATCGTACACTTCTGAGGTTAACTAGCTTTCTGATATAGCGATGACATGTCCAACATTGTCTTAAGTCCGCAACCCTAGTTTGTAGCTCTGAGCATTTGTGTGGCGCACCATCAATTCTGGGGAGAACATTCCCTTACAATTCAAAATGGTTCAGGGGGCGTTTCGCTTCGAACGTTTACAATTTAGAGACCCTTAAGTACGAGGATTTTTCACCGTTTGACGGTCCTCATTTACTTCTATTTCTGCCGATCGTCTCCTAATACAGTCAGTCATGCTGAGATGCTGACGGATGTATATTCAGGATCTGATCACATAGCGTTATATTCACAGTATTAGATTTATTTCTTTAGCTGAAGCAAAGGTAATATGTGAGAGGCGGTTCTTCCGAGTACTTCCAGGGTCCAGTTTTGTCGTATTCTATAAAGCTGACAGATGCAAACTTCTGAAAATGTTTCTGGAAGTAGCCTGCTTGTTAAGGACTTAATGTGACTGAGGTCGTGCTCAAATCTAGCCTTTGGATCTTTTCCGGAAGATTCCATTAACTTTTAAAGAATAACTGACCTGTCAACGAGGTGTGTCTTAACACGCTGTGACGTTTTGTTTCGTGAAATGATCTCCCTGCAGTCCGACTTGTTGTCAGACACGAAGGTCTCACTCTGCTTTCTTAATTTTGTTTTTCTGGGTGAAACTAAACCAATCGGTTGCCTTACTATTACCTTATCATGCATGCAAAAATGACGAATACCTGCCCTTGCAGAAACATGTTATTACCATTATTATTATTGTCGTGATCACATCATCTACACCGCTAATGCTTAGCCCCCACAAAGTCTGTTTTGGGGCGATATGTATATCCGAAACTGAATCCGTAGATTCATATACTTTGGTGCTGCCTACAATATTTTTTCTCCTTGACGTGCTTGTTATTTTTTCTTGTAACCACACCCATATCACTGTGCTTTTTAATCGCCTCTCTAATGTGGTCCACCTTGATGATTTTATTGAAATCCATAGCTGGAATCCAAATAACGCTCGCTACATGCTCCAAAACTGGAAAACGCACATCCGCTGATAGCCGTTGATCTGAAAGCATCTTCCTAGCTATGTTGATATGATAATTAGAAGTATTTGAATTAAAGTACTAACTAAGAATCCCAGAAATAACGCAACTGGATCAAGAAGTACTAGATAAGCACAAACGAATGTATTGAATTTGGGGTTCGAAATCAAGCATTCAACATATACAAAGGAATCATTAGTTCATTCAAACATCACATTTGAGCAACTCAATCGCCTCAGGAATCAGCAGAGACTTTGTAGCGCAACATGCTTTGCACAATCAACGTGAAAGTGGCTTACAGCACCTTTTGAATTAAGCTAGTATGAGCCCGGCGCACACTGTGTGATAACACATTGCAGTTCTCACATTGCATTCCATACTTCACCGTGTAAAGCATGAGAACCCACCATGACGATGCTTTACTTGCACCATAAAAACATCTATTGATCTTATAGAGAGAACAACAAAGAAATTGATCTCGAGTATAAGTGTTCTTAATGTGCCTTAAAAGGCAATATTTACTGTGCACAAAACGCTAGGGTTATATGTCATCGTAGTTGAAAACGAAAACCCAAAATAAAAAAGCAAAAAAGCTGTAATACCTTCTGTTACAATCAATAATAAAAAGTTTATTCAAAGAGAAAAAATATCACTGCCTTTTTTATCACTGTATATAAAAAGTACAGATGATGAATTATTTTAGGGAAGTACGATACTCTTGGAGATCACTTTGACTGAAATAAATCCAAATAAAGCGAAAACAGTGGTCTTGATGCCTTTTAAACGGTTGACACGGTAAAATTAACTCGGTGAGGTAAAGTACCACTGTTCTATTTAAATAATGCGCGGATTAAATTATGTATCAATAATCATCCATCTGATATCCAATCACTTTTCTTGTCCGTAAAAAAACAGGGTATCTATAAAGTTATTATAAAAAGGAATAAAAACACAAAGCGAATTGCTTGTCTGTTGATTTTACCATTGAATCATCAACAAATGGGACCTTTTACTTCAGTACGTGGTTGAATCACGATCTTCTTATGCGTTTAAAATAAAGTCGGGTCATTTGAAAGATGTCTATTTCCAGGACTAACTCATGTCATCTATTAATATGTCCTTCAGAGACTTAAATGGTTACGTATAGTTGTTGTTTAACTTTGTATTTGCTATAGTGCTTGCTTATATGAAATTATTTAAATAGCAGTAATGACAAACGTTCAAGCTGAAAGTGTTATTACTAGAATAATTAAACAAATAATACAACAATGCATTTCAAGAGGACATGACGTCTCTGAGACCCTTGTGGCATTTATTGTATTGAGTGAATGAATTTCAACAACGAAGTAACGATTTTCTAGGTCAAAGCAGTTGTTCTTGATCCTGCTTCGGGATTTCTACCCGATAAACCACTGGATAATGAGGATATAAAGAAACTGATTGAAGTAATTCGATCTATAATCCATCATTTGGTATAGTTATGTGTTAACAGGGTAACTGATCAAGAATCACCATCTGTTGATACAATAAAAATGCAAGTATTCTTCGAAATAAATCATCTCAAAAAAGGTGATTTAATATCGACTTTTGTTTTATAAAAATGTTGATTTATTTACACTGACTACAAATCGCAAGATTTTGATGATTTTATGACCTCGGTTAACCTAACATCATCTACATGACACTAACTTCTTCAACATCAGTCATGTATGACTGCCATGAGATCAATAGTGAATCACTAGGTCGTTCACTTGAAATTTCATCTTTCAATATACATATGAGCACAAACATTGGATTAAGGGCTCTGAAGTTTTAGGTTACATTCTTACAGAGTCCTCTTACAAAGTGGAAATGAATTTTTTAAATCTAGTGGAATCAGCAAAACTATATATTTTTGATTCAATCTGATGCACGCTTTGACGTGGAAGCAAAATATAGGGAGAACTACTCGTTCATCTGCTTGGTTTTTGGAATAATTAAATTCTGACGTCTCAGGGGTTATTTTGTTATACACTTCTTTTGTAGACATAGTGATTCATATGGTGAATGGACAATGAAGTCAACTTTTTTAGCAATTAAACACTAGTGTGAAAATTCTGTTATACATTGATTTATGCTCTACTAGTAATCACCTTTCTAAAAATGACAAATGCAAAAAATATGAATTATTTCTGGTTTATAATCCACTTTTCTCTAAGAGTATCAAATACGTAAATTATATATTGTAATTCACTTGACAAATTATGTTATGGAAAGTATCCTTATAATGTCACATTCATACATTTTACCATCATAATTGACCCTCTTTTATGGTAAAAACTCATTATTAAAGAAAGCTAAATACAGTTAATTACGAAAAATCGACTTGAAACTTTATTGTAATTAGGATTGCGTACAATAAGATAGGACAGCACACAAAGTTAATTAACAATTACAGATGTTCACTGTGCGACAACTAAACTAATTGTGTGCATCATTAACTTTAGCTTTCCACAAGTTAGCCCATATCTGTCGCAAAAGCTTAAGACCTGTTTGGTAATCCTTTATTTTAATCCTTAATAGTGTAAAATATGATTACTTCAAGTGTTCTGAAATCCAGGATTAAGGACCATTTATTTGTAAGTCGATTATATAAGGTGAATAAATGTTATCCAATATAAATTTTTGGCACTATTTCGTTCCATATTACACTGATCAGAGGGACATCGAGGAGGCGAATTATTTTCTAATGACTTGAAGCAGAGTAACTTGGCGTTGTGGCTAGACCAACCTCTCCCAGAATGGTTTGATTAATTTGATCCATCACTGGGTAAAAACGAACATTATTTTATCTCTTCTCGAATACTGATTCAAATATATATGAAACGTTTACGTAAAGTCATTCAATTGAACGCTAGATTCATTTTAGCGTTGGTGTGTCATACGAACCCTAAAAGTAATCACGTACCTATATCTTTGCTCAAATTATTCCAATATAACTGCCGAATAATTTCCAGATGAATTCCTAAACGAGCATCATCGCGTACTGGAAAAGCGTTTAGAACCTGTATTACGTGAAGTTATAGAGAGTCGAGCAAAATTACGGGAGGAACTAGAGGCTACTTATCAAAATATTATATCAGCTTTATTATTAAGGTCGGGTCTTGGATCTCCAACAAATATGGATGTTATCAGAGAAACTACAGGTGAGCCAATGAAAGTTTGCCTTTTCTTTTAAACTATAAACTAGCAGGTAGTTGGGACTGAAAATTGTGGTTTTTCATTCTAGCACATGTACTTTGGTTTTATAACTCTCTTTTTATATTAAACGACATATGTAATCTTATTTATCAATAAGCTATGCACTGAATTCATAGATCCTCTAGTCACATGCGAATCCACAAATATTTGTGGACATACGGGCATTTTCAAACTTTATCACTCTGAATTTAGAAATCTATACCAATAAAGTGACCTAACAAGTCTAGTGGAACTTCGAAAGTACAAAGCTCGGAGGACAAATCTCTCTCTAACTAACGCAATGTCATGCTATACAACGCGTTTAGGTCAACAATTCATAAACAACCTAGGATCTAGCACAAATGTCCATGGGTTAAAATTTCTACATTTTATATCGTCACAGAGTGAGGGAAAATTAACTAGTTGGATAGCCAAATGAACCGAAAATATTACTAATTAAAATAAAAAATCTAAGATGGAAGTATGCGTTCAAACCCAGCCTCCAATATTTTTAGACATACGCGTATACTGGACAGGTTTGTTCGCCAGGGTTTTTAGTGAGTTTACATCCCTAACAAATGTCCCAACCATCATGGTCAGTGGGGTTTTTAGACTTATTATCCAGCTTATTAAATACATCTAGTGTCCTGTACTTAGTTTCAGCATAACACATGTAGTGGTTCTATCTCGTGCATGCAATAGTGTGAACAGAGTTCTGATAAAAACATATTCCTTCGGCTTCAAAATGACCTTTCACAGCCACATAATGGGGAACAAACTGATAAGCATTATGTCTAATGTTTTTTATACAAACGTTTGTCTTGTCCGCTTGACTGATAATGTGAAATATCGAGGTTCATTTGAATTTACTACATTTATTCTGAGGTCTTTCATCTATCAGCTCGCCAAATGTGAAGAAACTTCTAGGCAAGGTGCTAAATGTAGCAGACTACTTTTCTTCGCGTTGTAGGACCAAACCCCGGTGCAGATTAGTTCCAAAGCAAAATTTCAATTCCGTGGGAAAAAGGAAAAACGTATCTCATCTCGAATACTAAACATTTCGGTAACGTGTTTGACAGGCAGAAATATGGCTACTTCACCCTTGTGAGAAGGTTTGTGGGCTGATAATTAGTTCTCCGGGAGTCACACGAAGTTAGTTATTTCTAGAATTATATATCTGAAAAGTTTGGATAAATCTGGTGGAAGTTATCTACCCTGAATGACATCACTTTACTTATCGATAAACTCACCAACCATGTATGTGAAAGAGCCTTCATTATATTGATATTCTCAAAAGTTTACGTCTTTTGTTGCTAAAACTTCAAATATACCTACTGACTGATGGATTTGTATGTTGTGTCGCGACAAATAAACATATTTGCCTATCTTATTAGGATGCTCGATCATATTACTAATGCTCTGCATGTGCTGTTAGGTGATTCAAGATGCTACATGTTTCAGGTTGAAGCTTTTTTCTTTCTCCTGCAATTATTAGTATGCATCTTAATTGATGATAGTTCTTAAATTCATCAAATTGATAAATAAGTGACGCTAAGACATTGTTAGGACAGTCATTTTACATATTTTTGAAACAAATTACAAAATAATGGTTTAAGCTTGAATATTCAAATGAGGGTTACTACGATGAAGTAAAGCGGTTGATAGGGTAAAAGCACATTACTTCACGTTTGTAATACCTCAAGAGACCAGAACTAGTTTTATTCGATGGTAGAGTCATTCGGTTACATCTGCTTTCTCGATAAATCGAATGAGATAGCGTTTTTGAGTGTTCTGTTGAGTTAGATATCACGCACAAATATGATTTAATAAATGAAATAATTCTGTGGAGATTTCAATTATCTTTTATATATCAAACTGACTGATATTTGTGCAAAATGGTAATAGAATCACAGTTATTGGTGACTTGTATTTCCGATGATTGTCTATCTCTGGAGAAATCCAACGTGATCAGTAATATAATCGATATGAACTTAGAGTAGTATTGTGCTCTTTTTGAAATATAAATACAAAAGTTAGGTAAAATAGTTTGGACTGTTGATCACTGCTTAGTAGTAGCTACAATTGTAACCTATTAATAAAAGCAAAAATCTTAGTGCTTGATAAATTAAGGCTATTTTTGTCCATATGCATTCTTATTCCGTTTGGGAAAAATGGTATTTTTAACTGAGTTTCGGTAGTTAATACCATTGTAAAATGTGATCGATAAGCGAACCCACTAATAGTAAAGTGGAACGCTCACCACTACACTAACTTTTCTTAACCTTGTATGACTGTGTCCTATTTATTCACTAATCACAATTCGATGTTTATTATAAAACAATATTTACCTTGTTGACTCATTTTTCCTACTCTCTAGCTACTGTTCCGTACGTTATTTATGTCTACGTTTTTCCCTGTGTTTATAGACTGTACTTTTGTTTTGTACATCAACAGTGTTAATTTACGTTTTAAAAACAGATAAAGTTTATCGAGCCAAATTGCTTACCTGTTCTGACTTTGGCTGAACCAAGACTCTGTATTCGACAGTCTAGGGATTAGATTAGAGTTGAATCTGTAGGAAACTGCTTTCTACAACCATAATGCATCAAACTTAGGTGAAAGACTTTTTGACGAATGCATTTTGTAGGATTTATACACAGCAGTCCATCTTATAAAGTATGAGTAGACGAAATTATTAGTCTCATGGTTATTTGATTGAATAAATACAAAGCCTTATCTGGTATATGTTATGTACAAAGGAAATTTATATATCTCTCCATCTTGATTTCTATCTACTTTGGATTTCAGATGTTATATTTTAAGCGCCTCTGTTCTCTCGTTTATTAGCTGCACTTCAAAGTATATTTCCACAAACAGATATTGCAAGCTTTTTGTCAGCCAATGCTAATCAAAAAAGAAAACAACTATATGAATTTACTGGTCTGGTCACTGGTATACGTCTGTATAACAAAGATTGTAATAAAGGAGGAGCTGGAATTGATGATCGTAAGTTAAATTCCCTGTCAATCACAATTTCTTATTGTCTGGATTTATTGTTAAGAAATTGAATAATGGCTTTTTCGGCTAATATTACTTACGTTTAAAGATTTAATAAAGTATGAATATTGCGATTGAAGTACTTGTAGTATATGATGGATAATATTTGTAGCTCAGGATGAGGATATTGGAGTTGTTGTTAACTCTGAGCTGGATGAGTTGGTTCGAAGACTTTTATTGTTCTCCTGAAAAAGATCATCAACACTTGCCTCAAAGAGAAGTGAGTTATTGGAATCTCTCCACCATTGACTGACATTTTGTCCTGGTCACTTGAAATATGATTGGTTTTGATTCGTACATGTGTGGCCGTTGCTTATGTTTATTTTGGTTATCCTCCCTTCTGACCCGGATTCCGGTCCTTTCAACTTTAACCCTTTTTCTTACTGGTTGATAAATTTAGACAATTTCTACATGTCTGTTGATTGGTGGTTGACTAGTCTCAGGTATCTGAAAATTCTCTGGCTTTCTTTGTATTTCCTCTGTCCAATATTTGGACGTTTACTCAGTCGAATTCATATCCACAGTTGTTCACATGCATTGTTATTACAATTCATCTTGCAGATTACCTTCGGTTTGTTGTTGGTTCTTTGGATGGCATATTATTGTTATTATTAATTGAAACCTTTGAAAACTACTCATCGATATAATCTTGCCTAATTTATCAGTTAGACTTTAGTTGGATAGTGTAATACTTAGAAATTTTAAAGAATATACTTGCTTTCCTATTACCACTTACTCTATATCATGATTCTTATCTGAACTAAAAAATAAACTTTATCTCAAATCTAATATCCAAGATCAAGACCTCTGTTATATTTTTGAGAAGTTTGTTTTACATTATTCTTCTGATTTAAAGATGATATATTTAATTTATTTTCGAAACTCTGAATATCCGCCCTATATAAATAAACAAATTATACATTACAGATCTTTATGAAAATTCTGTCTGAATTATAACATATCAAACACTCGAGTATATATTTCCAAGAATCAAATAAGGATTGTTTATATCAATAAGGAGATAATGTAAGAATAAATAATATTTAGAAAACTAAAAGAAATGAGATTGGCATTGTAGTAAACGAGAACACAATTGGGGATAATCGAATGCAATTGAACACAAAATGACAGTACATCTTAGTGAAATCTGAGAATCATACAGTAAATAATTCATTTGCAAAATGTCAATTAATTGTCTCAAACCTGAATGTTCTTTCATTTTCACACCAATCGTTCTCTGTTCTTGTTCTCTTTTCTTCGATCTTCTTAACCTCCTGCCGCCAGGTATTTCACTTACGATTGATACATACTACTTATAGCTATCGATATCAGTAGCATACACCACAGTATGACCATGGTATTAATGTTGTGAAAAATGTTATAGTTCCTGAGTTTTAATATGTTCACAATAACTGGATAATTGAAACTTTGAGAAATCATGGAATTAATGACTTTTTAGAACTCAAAAATAAACTTTAAAATGTTTAACGATGTTTTAAAATGTCTGTAAGAAGTCTGAGTTTTCACACTCAATCATGATTAAAAAAATTCATCAAAATACAAAATGCTATAAACGTGCGATTATTATTTAATTTTAAGATTTCTGGAGATCTATTCAATTCGAAGACAATTTATATCAAAAGCTAACATCACAAAAATACATTGAAAGTACTTTCAAGTTTTCCATGGTGGTCTAGCTTCAAATGACTCATGATCTCAACTACTAAAATTACCAAAATATCCACAAAAAACCCCTTCTAATATTAACCAACATATGCTCGCTAGTGACTGGCTTCAAAAGGTATTTCCTGCAGTTCTAGTGAGAAGCAGTGACCAGTGGAGTTCAACCGAGTCTCTTGTGAGATAGTAGCTCACTGATGACAATACTGGATGTGTCGCTCAATTTCGTGGATTAATTCGAGTTAGACATTAACACCATTGGATGCCGGCTGGCCCAGTGGTCTGGAGGTAAAGGGTTGACGTGCGAGGCCGATAGGCCCTGGGTTCGAATCTCGCGAGGCGGGATCTTGGATGCGCACTGCTGAGGAGTCCCACAATAGGACAAAACGGTCGTCCAATGTTTCCATAGTGGTCTAACTTCAATTGACTCATGATCTCAACCACTGAAAAGTAATATTTCAGTTTAATTATTTAAAATATCTAAAACTAAATTGTTTCATTTAATAGTGAATTAATATTTTACAAAATGATTGGCAAATATATGCTTCATTTACATATATTTTATTCAGTTCCGCATTTATTGAGTGAAGGAGTGCCCATAACACTAGAAACAATTAATGAAGAAATTAAAAAATCAGATGAACTTGCTGCTATTTACACAAGTATGTGTCATTTATAAATGACTTTAGAACAATTATTTGTTATTGGATAAACTAACGTATTTTTTAGTATTTAGTATTTCGTTTTTGATAGTATTCAATAGATGGCTTGTTGTATATCTGGAATTTTGATAATAATGAATATAATGATGATTGATAGATGATGCTCAACTGTACGATATATCTGGTTGACAATCGTTCACAGGATCGAATTAATGATCTGAGTCTACAAGTTAAGTGTTATCGAGAGACAGTGTAAAGCCTAATAAATTGACATGTTTACATAAAAAGAACAAGGAGAAAAATTATGATTATTGAATCTATTTAAAATATAGACAATTGTAAAATGAGAGTTTCATAGGTCATCAGAAAGACAATACAGTTAAAATATCGCTTTCAATTTCTGCTCTTACCCTTTGTATCATATTCCTATATTCACTGTAAGCTAAATTTTAATTAGATGCATTTAGGCGGCAATCCACTAGAATCAATTAGCTTTTACATACTTTTATACTGAAGAATGAAATCACAGGATTTTAAATTTATCTATTTGAACTGATTTAAAAAATAAAGTAGGTCCATTGATCCCATTTATTGATGCTATCTATCAGTCAGTCAGTCAGCTACAACGTAGGACCAGGCACATATATGCATCGGTTCAAGTTACCATACCTCATTAACACAACAAGATGAACATCGGATTCATAAAAGTAGTTAATTCAGTTGTGATAATACATAAAAGAAAGATTGCAATAAGGATATAGTACAGGAAGAAAGAATTAGTTCGTAGAAAGAAAGATATGAAGCAATTTTAATCTCTTAGTTTAAGGGAAGACAGAGAGTGTATACACCGACGCCACTGTGATCGATTCTGAGCCATGTCACACAGTCTCCAACCATTGGTTACAATCGTCACACGGACTCCAACCAAGTAGTCTGCATCTACCAACATGGCTCAGACTAGAAGTTAGTGACTTTGTGGACTGATGCCATGTTTTGGTTTGGCCGCCCCTTACTTTCTTCCAACCATCTCCAACACCGGTTAGCATTGCACGTCGTGGTAATCGGTGTTCAGGCATACGTAACACGTGGCCAAACCATCTCAGTCGATGAAGATTCACAACCTCATCAACTGATTTACCATCATTCCCTAATACCCTGCGTTTAACCTCACTATTACTTACACGGTAATCCCAACAGACGCCAGAAATATTTCTAAGGCATCTGTGGTCAAATACTTGTAGCTTACGAGTATCTTCTACTCTTAGTGGTCACGTTTCGCAGCCGTCAAGTAGAACAGAACAAACTGCTGCGCAGTATACTGGTCCTTTTATTGATAGACGGATACCTTGCCTTCGACATAGGTGACGTAAGTTGGCAAAAGCACTTAAGATGCTATCTATACATTGATAAAATATGATAGCCATATAAGTGAATACAACAAAGTACACAGGGAAATAATAGTAATAGAATGAATTTATAAAGAAGTTTTTTCGAAACTATTCCGCCTGGCTTTTCATATTGGTTTATCAATTTAGAAGGGTTACTGTGACAAGTTACATCATAAATTGTATCAAGTTCTTCATCCGTTGTAACTTAATATTCCGTGTGTATATAATGAATCGTGTTCAAAGAGAAATACACTAGTAGTTCTGACTGAGTAGTATATTTAGGTTAAACATTGAATTAAAAACCTATAAAGTATCAGTATATGGTCATTTTGTACAGGTTTTATAAAGTTCATTATGCCTTATCAGTGTAAAACAACCTACTTACACTATTTAGCAACAGAAATAAATATTTGTTGGCATAATTGAAATGTGTTCAGGATGCCAGTCTAAAATAACTTTGCTAACTAAATAATAATGTTTGATTATTGTGTTTACAATAGTGAATGATGACTTCAAACGACATCCACTTATCAAATATCCAGTCTGAAAAATTATGCTTTCTGAAACAGATCGTTAAAATCTATCAATTTAGCTTTTGATTACATAAATCGCTGTCGTATAATTTTATTTATAAATGGTCACAAATTGTTGAGCTGAAATGTATTGAGTTTAAACGTTTATCCAGTATATCTAAATTTATTGAAATACAAACTGAAATACTGGTGAATTATCAACTTGGTTACTAAATAAAAATATAATTTTTGTATAAGGATAATTTAAGGTTCTATGCAAAAAATCTATACAACGCTTTATTATCCAGATATTTCAATCTATCATTTTATGTCGGTGCATATTTCTTTCTTTCTTTTGAAAGGTCTTTTCTTGAAACTATCTACTATTGACCCAACTACTGATGTTAAAGCTTTAATAAAGTCTGCTAAGGAGATGGATATTACACCGGAACACTTGCGAGCTTCCGTAGTCAATGCTAGACAGTACGGAAAATTTCTAAGAATTATTGAATGCGAGCTTAATCAAATGTTGAAAGACATAGAGAAAATAATTGATAGCTTTAAAAGTTGTATGAAAAAATTGCATATTCTAATAAGTGATCGGCCAGCCGTTCCAAGTAACGAAGTTTATGTAAGATATTCATTGAATTACTTCTATCTCATTATCATTTATTTATATGCTGATCATTGTTTTAATATATGTATAAAGTTAATAGCTAAACTGATATATATAGCTTTGTAATGAATGAATTTATACGTTCCTAAACATTAGCCTGGATTCCTACAGCTTGCTAATTATTGGACAAGTTTTCAAGATGAAATGGTTTTCTTATCAGTATTAACCAGTACTTTAAATACCTTACAAACATATTTTGTTGGACGTCAGTTGAAATGGACCAAAGAACAAATGTATAATTTTATCTCGGATAAGGAAGTTATATTCGACGAAGATCGTAAGGTAAGTTGAAAATAATATTTTATAACCTTATTAAGTGGGACTGTTTATCATTCTGTTAATTGTTTATTTCAGAATCAATTCAGCATCGGTTTCCGTATCATATACGCAATGTTTTCAGATAGACTTATTAAACAAATCAGTTAGTCTGAAGTAGAAGTCAATCTAATGAATTATAAGGCTCCCAAAATCTAAGCACTAATAATTGTTTTACAAAACAGTATACTATCACTTCTAGCTTAATTTATTATACAGTAACTCTAACTTATATGATTCTATTTTGAAAGCATATAAATTATGATTTGTTTTTAATCGATCAGCTATTGATGAAACACAAAGCAACATGTACTGAAAGCACCCTTGTTAATATGATTGTGTTTGATTAATTTGATTATTCTAGATTGTAACATTCTTCGGTTAAGTGTAAGAAACATAATGAAACATGAACTACTCTTGTACCAATTATGTTATTATGACGGCTTAAATTTTCGCATTTAGCCTAAAACAATTCTAGGCAATATAATGTGAAGTGATATAAAAGAATACATTTAGGATTTTATGGGGTAAAAGGTTTTCCCAATATGACGAAATATTTTTAAGTACTAAATAAACACTTTAGAATTAAATTTCGAACGTTTTATCACTCAGAAGCGAATAGTCTTTATATCTTTGTAAAAATGAACGCTTTTGAGATTATTACTCACTTCGTTAGAAAGCATCTTGCTTGCACAATTGTGGTACTGAAACCCTTATCTTACGATATCTATGTAATCTACCACTGTTTCTAATTCATTTGTTGACCGTTATAATCATAAGTTTTATGTATTAAGCAGTATTATGTATGAATAGCTCTTACTGCAGTTTTATGAAACTTTATTCATAATAGTCGTTTATAAAATCACTGCAATATGAAGTATTCACATAGTAAATCACTAACGATAGAGAAAAATACATGTTGATAATAAATAAAAGACTTTAGTCACTGAATATTTTCATTCTAGAAATCCTTTAAAGTTACGACAAAAATTCCAGCTGACTTTTTGATGCTCTCACTTCATTCAGGAACAGAAACACTTCAATTAGAACTCTTATCCTTCAAATAGGTGGGAGGGTAGCACCGGTGAGTGAATGATTTAGTGATTAGCGATCTATTAGTAGAAGTTGTGTATCTTATATAATAGATTAAATACAGATAAAACATGGCTGAATTTACATACATTATATAAAATGCTCGTTGTGAATAACACTACTGATTATTACTAAAAATAGAGTCAAAATACATAATTACTAAATTGTTGTTTTTTCAGTATACCTAAGTAAAATTTTAATGCACTTGATTTACAACTTCTATATTATTTTACACCATTTTATTTTAGCATCATGATCCATTAAGTGAAGAATACTGTGGTGGACATCAGTGTGTATTCCCACATTCTTCTTCAGAAGAGATTAATCTTAATATTGAGTGCGAAGTAAGTATTCTTGAGAGTTTTTGCTTGTTTATTACATAATTATATGCTAATTTAATAAATAAGTTAACAATAAATAAATAAATTTTCTTATTTTCATATTACCTTTTAGCACTGATGAAGTAAATTTCTCAAATAAATCCTTAATAATCTGATTGATTAACATTAGTACTGTCTTTTAGAGAAATTTCAGGTATATTTCAATTAAAGTGGATGAAAGAAGTTGTCTTCGGCTTACATAACTTAGTTTCTAAGTATTATCACTCTCTGATACACTTTAATACTAAGCCGAGGTACGTTAGGACACTTTTTTATACTCACTGTATATCTGGTAAGAAAGTGATTTTTGTGTTCCTATTGACGAAGTAATACTGTATGCTGCGTGGCCATCAAATTCTATGCAGAGACTTAAATTGCCACAGGTATTCAACGGGCGATAATTTAAGCTGATCATCATCAAGTTGTATGGGTATTTCAAAGCGAGAGACTTAGAGAATATTAGCATAAGATATAGAAATTAAGTCAGTTGATATGCTTATAACACCAATTAAATGTATTGTTTACTGTAAAGATAACTTCAAGACTATTCTTTGATCAGTTCGATGTAACTCAGATACCTGTTAGGTTGCAGATACAACACATTCATGTAAAAGTAGAAATTGAATTATATTATATTTTATGAGACATCTAAACTTCATAGACTGATTTCAACACTCAGTCCGAACTCTAGGATTCTTACATTGAGATGTTTATATGACACCTGCCTAAATCAAATTTCGTGATAGATCATTATGAATACAAATTCTTAAGCAACTTCAAAATATTTTCATATATGTAGCAGATCCCAGAATACATGTTTTACCAAACATGAATACTACACCATAAAATAAAAATGTATTATATACGAATATTCGTCGAGATTAGAACGAAGAGTTTGACAGAAATTTGGCGCCGAGTAAAGAGAAGTCATTATATGTGAAAATTATATTTGAAAGTATCTCAGCGATTGAAATTACCCTAAAGAAGTCCAGACAAGTTAGCTGGACGAAACGTAGGAGTTATTAAAATTTCAATCGCTGAGATTATTTCAAATGTAATTTTCACATGTAAAAAATGTATTAGTTAATCATAGATTACTCTTAATCCGAACCTTTTAGCAATTTCCTAACACTTAGAATATCGATAATTCTTACTTACTAACGACTTTCCAGCTGATCAAGTACCAAAATTTGTCTATATCACAATACTCATTGAACAACAGTAAATGCTTGAAAGCAGATCATGACCATCAAGAGAGCTTCCTGTACAATTTGTAATATTAGACGAATAACTGTTAGAAGAATTTAGACATGTTTAATCTTTACTTGCTTTTATAATTAAATATTAGTTAAGTGCCATCATTTATAAATATTTTATTTTAATTAATAAATATTTACAGGGATTTTGCATCTGGTCATTAGTACGTTATCAAGGTCTACTAGTACCAGCTGATATTCATATGGGAGTTTTGCTCTTACCTCCAGATAATAAAATGTATGCATTTAGCACACCTGAAGCAGCAAAAGAATTTGTGATGGAAACTGAAAAGTGAGTGTTAAATGAGAGTATATATTATATATGTATACATTATACTGTTATTCAAGATATCATAATTGACAGTTGATATTTAAATGACGATGGTTTTTCCTCTTTATCTTTAACGATAAACCTTGAGGTTATGACTACTCATTTGTACCGTCTTTCTGACAAACCGTATGCATAATATATACACATCCACGACACTACTCGTATTTGAATTTTTATTTCCGATTGTTATTAACGAGAAAAACAGAGGATATAAACAAAATCAGTGGGAATATACATTTTATTATTATCAACTTTACTGGAGTCAGATAAGGTTAATACGAATTCCATCACTTGAAATCTAACGCACCCAATTAATGACCCAATATACCGTTAGTTATTGTAAACTATTTTCCTCTTATATATCCTTCGTTTTTTGAATGTTCCATGGGAATTTTTAATGTTCATTGAATTATATTAAAAATAGTTATTCTTCATCGGATGTCTCATTGTGAAATAGACAAAAAGCTTATTAGACAGCGTTTATGTGCAAATAATAATTCATAGTAAAATTGTTAATATTGAATATAGAAAATGAAGATTTGACTAAGTGGACATTGAAAAGGAAAGTAATGACAAACTTAAAATAATACATTAGCAAATCAGTTCTAAAGTTAATCCAAGCGGATTGCAATACTCCGACAGCCAATAAAACAATTCCACATCATGTTGCCTTGTAGCAGATGGATAATTCTTTTTATACAGATTGCAAATCATATCTTATAATGTATAAATTTTATAATTAAATATTTAGACGAATAATATTAAGCGGTTAATTTTAAGTATTTTTCATTTTCCTGAAATTTATCTTCCTAGATTTTTGAAGGCTATACCAGAAGTTATACGACGTTTACCTGAACTAATCCCAATTTTAAAGCTCAATTACCTTTTCTCCAAAGGAATTTCTTATACAGTATGTCTTTTAAATATATATACGCTGTTGAGAGTTCTTATGCTCAGACGACACAACTCTACAGCCCTTCGTGGTTTTCAATGGTTGTCTAGTTGAGAACAGTTCATAATGGATACTATGCGGTCCGACAATATCCTTAATCCCCTTTACTAATAATTGATCAAATAATATTTGTTAACCCAAATATGTCTCTCAGTTATAAATAATATCACATCTCAAATCAACACTGAGGTAGGAATCTTAAAATAATTAGCAGCCATAAGTCTAACCACTGGTATAAATGAATTAACCATAGGAAATATAGTTCGCTGGGGAGGAGATTTATCGAATTATTATGGACATTATTAAATGATCCGAAGCTCAAAATTTAGATATCGACTCATATCACCTAATATCCTAAAACATTCCAAGTCCCAATCAATAATTCTGTACCTCGTGATACGCCCCGGAACGGTTAGTGTCTTCATAGAACTTTATCCTATCTCGATCTGATCGCTTCTAGAATTTCTAAAATTTACTTATATAAAATCCTTGGTTGTATATCCAGGTAGATTGGACTCCATAACTCATGCCTCCACCATCTCAGTAGATGAAGGCCGACAGTTTTGTCAACCAATTCTAAGCAGACAAAGACAGGTAAAATATTTAACCAACACTCAGTGGTTTACTCACAGTGGTGATATAGTGGCCGCCAAGATGTATTACAAATATAGAAGACTACAACATATTGATACTTGTTTTTTTGGGAAAATATGTGGTTACTAGATTTCTGAGGTAGTTTATGCATGAATTCTTAACATTTTAGTTCCTATCACCTAATTAAGTGAATGTCCGTCAAACAATGAGTAGCATTTCCCACAGAATCTCTAACGCGAATCAAAGTCTAATTCTTAATTAATACTTCAAGATCCTGATGGACTTTAGAACACGACTGCTATTGTGTTCGCATGCTTGAATTTAATTTATTCATATAGGAACTTATTGACCAAAAGCAATAATGAGTATATGATGTCAGATAAATTGGAAGTTACTGTATGGATGGACTGGTTTCGTAATTTAAAACACATCAAAATGACTAATGATATTAAAAACAATCCATTACCATTTTTATTTCAGAATGGTCAATTTCATGAAAATACAAGTCCTAAGGTCGACTGTGGTGTCCAAACAGTACTGCACCCAATAGAAACGTATATTGATAAAAACTATTATTGGAATGAGTGGGAACTGAGGAAAAATGCTTTAAAGTTGGTAAGGAACCATGAATTTAAGTATTTCATCGAAGGATTTAGCATAATGCCTTATGAAAATTGTGATATTTGTACGAAATAATGATTTCTTTGCACTCCATCGCCCGCTGATTACGAATTCCAAATGCAATACGTTCATTTGTACTCATATAGTTCTACCTGCCTTAAATTACGTCATCAATTAGGTGAAAATCGGCAATAATTGTTTCTTAATATGCTTGGAATCAATAAAAAATCTTTTGTTCAACCGAAAAGTGAATCTTAGATGACACTTATGCTAAATTACGAAGCACATCTGCCTCTAGGGCATGTTGAACGTTAAAGTACTTTATGTGACCCAATACATAGTCAGAAGTTTTTCGTGAAGCTAATGAATATTTCCCCCCCCTAAATCTTACTCTAAATATCAACCCATAATTTCCTAGGTTTGTAAAGAGAGGAGTGACAGGGCATTGCATTATCGGTGATGTCAGTTCGTGATGAAAACCCTAACTCTAACTTATAATCGTAACTAAACTCATAACACCTAACCTTTTTGCAGTAAAGCTGATGTCAGTTGGTGACGAAAACACGAAGGGATTGATACCCGACTCCATAACACTAGTCTGACGTATACTATGTAAACTTGAGCACTTCTGCCATTATAAACAACGATTCGACATGTGAGTTAATTATTCGTACCAAAGTATTTATCCCAGTGTTAATCGTTGTATAACCAAACACTGCCTCCTGGTTGGCTGATAAGTCTCTCAAGGTCGTCAGTGTAATATACTTTTACCAGTAAGGTTGTATTTGAATTTCCTTCGCATGATAAGTAAATCACCACTACTCTCCATCATTTTTTCATCGTTAGACAATCACTCTAACATACTTTTGTAATTCATTTAACTCCCACTGACTTTAAGTAAAACACGTTCGAAATTTTCGAAGTAGTAGTTCTTCTTTCAACTTAATAGTTCTCCGCATATATTTATAGAAATAGTTGGTTCGTAAGCAAGTATATTAGATTTGTTTTACTTAGTTTCGGGATTCATACTACACACCCTACATCTTATACAAAATCATAGCATTCAACATCTTTAGTTCTCAGGGATAGTCGGTGAAGTTATTGATAAATACTCAAAACTCAGGGTCTGATTATTTAGAAAGTATTTTAAGGGGAAACTTACACGGCATTTATTCTTTTATAAATTTCGGGCCTATACAACTTTCATTTTATCTTTTTAATTGTTGCTATATGAATATATAAATTCATAAGAATTGCAAATGCAAATACAGAATGCTTACTCGTCAAAGGAAACTCAAGATTCTAGCGTTAACCAGCTACTTTCTAATTCGCTTACCTTTTCCAGAAAATGTGTTATTAAAAGATCATCGATGTTATGAAGGGAAACTGTTAGTTAACATATAAACCCGAGTTTTATGTGACTTGTTCTAAAATAATAACAACTTTACCTAAATTGTATTAGGTTTTTTGGCCGAATATACGGAAATACCCGTATACTAATTCGTTCTAGTAATGTTATGCTGTATGCTTAGTTTAGAATTACCTTTCAGTTTATTTTTTCTTTATGACAAGTAGGTAAATTTAAGAAAAAAGGCCACAACTTCTGTTCAAACAATTTTAAGCAATTGGAGAAGAGACAATGCAACTCAAGTTTATCCGATGAAGTAAGATTTAATACAAAGAGAACATTTCTTTATTTTGGCTGACTGCAGTTTAACTTATTAAGATGAAAGAGGGCTGTAAAAGTCATTAAAATTCAATGTTCATTTTCATATAGCACTGGTTGTATCAACTAGAGAACTGTTGATACACAGCTGGCAATGAGTAGTTGGACCAACTTACCTCAACGTTCGTTCATTAGTGAACAACCAGGATCGAATATAAGACCATATGCAGAATGTTTGGGTCTTATAGTGGACATGATATTTTTCGGAATTACCTGACAAAAATAAAGTTTCTCACTATCAGGTCAATTTAAAATAATGTATGACACCGAATTTTGACTGGTTTTGTGATTTTTCAGTTTCATTTTGTCAAAAAATAACTTTTTTTTTACATTACACGAGGACTATTCTTTCTATAAATATCAATTATTTTAGAATATTGATTAGTAATTTTTGAATTAAAAACCATAAGTAGCAGGTAAAAACTGCCGTAGTGGATTGTCTTAGAGATAACTCCTAAGGCTTCGTATATCACACATCCTGATAATCGTTACTAGGTAGCTCCCAACGATTTATAAATTCCTGGAGACGATACGAATCGTTGACTGCAATTTGTACATCGCAAATCACTAAGCCACAAGCATACAAAGCGGGTCCGAGTAGAAATGAAAATACGAACTAGCAAATACGGAGGCGATCAATTACATATGGACATGATAATAATATTACAAAGATATAGACAACTGGTTACTGTTCGAATGACACTGTCTTTTAGATAAGTTAACTGAAGGGATTGACAAGATTAAACGTTAATAGATTTAAGTGTGAGGTGCTATATTACTTCGTGTTACTTTGATTAAAGCACAGTATCTCTAACTTTTCCAATATTAGTAAGACAGAACATCCATTTGCTCAATCTTCACGAACTTCGGATGGTAAAGTCGTAAGAATGACTTGTAGGGTAACATACGTTGAGAACACACTTCGTACACTTAGGTTTAACATGTAAGACTATTTTTTCTTGGAAAATTTTGGTGTCTTGAAATTATATGTACGTAGCGAAATATTACTAAAAGTATTTTTTTTCTGAAACAGCATAAATTCTATCCGTTACGTTCTACCGAAAGTTCACTATTCCAATCTAATGTAACTAGGTTAAGATATTTTAGATGAGTTACATAAACCAAAGCTCTAGACAACTTAGACTGTTTACTAGTGCATGTTTCGAAGAAACGAGTTGCACATAGGTAAAAGCTAAGTTTGCTAAAAGTTTTGTCGTAACGCCATAATGACTTTAACTAGATCCATACCCTTCTATAAAAAAGATGAGGTACTAATCTATTCATTTTGAAATGTAGTCAGTCTTCAATTCTTTTCAAATTTCAGAGAAACTAGTACAGCAACCAAAAAGGATGGTTATACACAAGTACCGAGACCAAGCGTATTTATACATGGACTACGTGGTTGTGGTGCTATTGGTTCAGCCCCGAATGCAACTAACGTAGTGAATAACCAAGCAAATTGGACAACATTATATCGTGAAACAGCTGCCACAACAGTTGATTTAACTATACCTGTGGAACAACAGTTATTGGGGAACTTACAGAAAGTAACAGTTGGTCACAACGTATGATTATAGACAGTAAAAAGATTGATAGTAACGAAGACTTTATTCAGAATTCATGCAGTGTTGAGCTAAAATATGGCAGATTACTTGCAAATTGGCATCTTACTTAGTAAAAATACAAATACAACCGTGCGTATTTTTGTTTGGTGAAATGTTTCAAATAATAATTAACGGTCAGTACTGATATCTAACTGCTTATTCTTATAAAGCTTTTTTCTTAAATGAGTTAAACAATCAGATAATCGTGGTTATAGCTGATAGAGTACTGTTAGATTCATTAGCAAAAATGTAGTCTATCTTTTCCTCACTGATCAACGTAAAGGACAGCGTATTTCTGCATTGAATATGGTAAACACAATCGAATGCTTAAAAGAAGTTAAAGGAATCATGAGCCATACCAGTCCAGCATAACTAATAGTCGTTCAAAAAAAGTAAATTACTTACCTAGTAAGCACATGAGTATTTTAAGGAATTTGTGTACAATAACTACCACTCAATTTTCAAGTATCCTAAACGGATGTAAGGAAGGGGACTGAAATGAAACCAACCAAAACAAATATTTATCTATATCTCGCATTATCAGGTGAAGTCCTGTCCTATAATTTATTCTTCAAAACAAAAGCCTAGTAGTATCATCTCAGCCATATATTGCGTTCTTTTTAGTTCAAACATTAATGCTCCCAAAGTATTATCTCCTACATCTAAGCTCAGAACTTCTAACTTGTGATTTGACCTTAGCTACTATTGCATCCATCTAACTGAACGTGGTATACTTAAGTAGGGTTAGTGAAGTTGACGAATAATAAACTAAGTCGGATGGTTAATAATCAATATTCCTTTGAAATTTTTTAACATACTTGGTAATTGCTAGTGTAATTATAGTCCCAATCCAGTTTGTTTTCATTTTTTATTAAACAACAACTAAAGAATATGGTGAAGAGACTTGAAACAAGTCAGCCACTTAGATTAGTATGAAAATTAACAAATTCCTTCAGTAATAATTGTACCCGGTGGTATTCCTTATCAAAATGTACCGATACTATGACCTCTCCGCTTTAACCATAAGCTGTTCTACAATAACGGTTAAAGGTTTAGAACATTCTAAATATAAATCAATCTTATTCTTTTGTAACGCTACGCACAAGCCATATCATTAATATGCAAAATTTATTTGCATGAGTATTAGTTAAATGAGCTTATTTGATGGTCGCGTTTTGATAAATTGCTAGTAGAACACCAGCGTAATATTCTGAATGCGATCACACAGAAAATTTGTAATTTCAATGACATTTGCTAAAAGCAAATGTCCCGGGGCCTATTTGTAGTATGATTATATCGATACTTAATAACAGAGAACTAGTATTATATACCCTATCTTTCAATTGCATTTTCTTGATTTCATGAACAATGCTTGTGTACCTTAATATTAAAATAGATCGTCGTTCCGCTTCAATTTATCATTTTCTCCTACTTCGACGTAGACTGACCATAATGTACAACGCTATGATTTCCCCAAAAAAACTATTTTTAGAAGTGAATAATTAAGCTTATAAGGGTAGAAATAAGAGACAATGAAACGTCTTATTGAGTATAGGACAGGGATAATGAAAAATGCTAACAAATTATAGGTACACTGATTAGGGGTTTACGCGGTGATTAGACGTCGGTATTCAAACATCTATTTACAGTGGAGCTAAAAGAACAGTACTACATTAGACTGCTAACAACAATTAGCATAAGTTCAGCATACGATAATCAATTATTCGCTGAAGTTAAAAACAATTTTTTGTTTGAAATGCAATTAGGTCTCGGCATAGATAATTGCCCTATGTTGGAATTGAGACAAGTAAACAGTACAGTTATTAAGCACTCCAACAGACACTAGAACTAAATGCGCCTACGGTGTACGCAAATTATCCCAACAATCAGTTCGAAGTGTTATGAGTAAAACTGCAGGTTCCATCTGGGAGGCTAATACCCAAATATATACTCAATTTCAAGAAGAGTGACTTAATATAAAGAGTTGAGCAAAATAAATCGAATATTAGAAATTTAACAGAAATCGATTAAAGCTAATGCACTGGAATGAATTTACATGATCTTGGTACTTAACAGTGGTTTACTTTGTCAACAAAATCTTATTTCGTAAAAAAAATCCAAGTATAATGAGACCAAACAGAGAGCTCAGTGTTTAGTAAACGCCTGATATGATGGCAAAAAGACATCTCCAGAAAGAAAAACACAAGTCTGAAAATGAAAATCAATTTATGAACGACTTAGCACATTCCATAGCTCAGACGTGAAGTTAAGTGGGTTGTATAGTTTCTTCAACGTGTTTAGCTATAAGAGCTGCACGCTTGCGCATATAGTGCTGCCAGTGAAGAAGAATTTGATCATCGATCATTCGGCATATCTGACCTCGTGCAAGAGCAGAGCGAAATTCCGCATGTTGCAAAAGGTCAAGCAGGTGAAGACAGTACGGATAACTAGAAATGAAAGGAGAATATATTTTACGTGGTTAAAAACCTGGATTGATAAACTATTTACTATACGCTATAGTTGCACTACTCATTAGTAGCACAGTGCGACTTCAGACCGAAATTATTATTGATAGAACTGTCAGTTCGCATGGTTATTTATAGAGACATTTACGTGACAACGTTTCAGTAAGTCATAATTGCTAAAAACTGGTTTATCAAAAACATACTGAGCTGTTTCCCTGCACGAAATCTAACCTTTTTTCAAAACCCTTTAGATTTAACATTAAGGTTTGCGACTTGTCTTGAATACAAAAGGATTTTGCCAATAACATATATTTGTGCCAAACCGATGGTTTTCTGAAGTACATTTTTAGATGCTCACGAGGTTCTTATGTGTGTTAAGCTCACCTTATGTTAAGCTAGTCAATAAATTTATCACATGATAGTTTATGTAGACAGATTGACTGCACATAGCACTGATCCGCCCATAGGAAAGCAGATATAAGCATTATTCACACTCATGACATGCTGAAACAAGCTTGTATATTCGAAAAAATTCCCACCTCGAGAATAAAGGTTGATATATATATATATATATATATATATATATATGGCAAAATGGTGAGCAAACAGGTGGGCGACAGAAGTAAATGCTTAGTCAATACATAAGGTTATGAAGATACACTTTTAGTCATGACAACGTTTAGGAAGATTGTATTTTTTAATTTCACTCTATAAATAATCATGAAATATGGTATTTGAGTCAAATTTGAGTTAACTTACATGAGATATCTTGAGTATGCAGGGTCCTTCCAATACAGTAAATACTTCAAATACTTTATGAAATTTGGCTTTTCAAACCAACCTTGCTGTGCAAGAACTAGGGATAATAAGAAAACATAAACATACAATTTAGATAGTTAGGATTCGCAAGACATTGGACAAATTCCAGTTCTATTTGAAACCTATTTCGCGAGTCATCTAGACCAAAGTCTTAACTCGTTAAAAAAAATTTCAGTTACTTTTGAGGTTGCTTTGAGGACGACTTCGAGATTGCATTTTACTCAGGAGAATTAAGCAATGAAGCTGCAATTTTCCCAAATTTTGATAAACTCAGATTTTCATGATGGAGTTATCTATCGGGACTTCAAGATGGTAGTTAATAGGATGGATGTTTTCACTTACAGATCATCGAAATCCCTTTGAATACTATTATAATACTATGGTCTGAAGAAAAGTAAATGAAGAAAATATTTAACCATAAATTTTAGAAATAATGTTATTGCATGAACACTTGGAAAATGCATCACATAAGTAGTTTATTAAGTGAAAACTTGATAACTAACTCTCACCCATGTGTACTATCTAGAAGTGAACTGTCACTTGAAACCAACAGTAGGATCGTTTAAAGGAACATTTATCCCGTACTCTGTATTTTAGATACTCCGGAAAATGTTTTCAGTGTAAAAAAAGACTATATAAGATAGTGAGATTAAAGGTTAGAGGTGGGAAAATGAAGACGATGGCTATTGAACTGAGCTGTATCGGGAGAGGATATGAATTAAGCATGGAGATTCTGAGACTCGTATGGCTTAGTCGAAGACTCGATGGAATTTGTCAAGTAACCCTTAAAGGAGTAATCAATGTTAGTTTTGACACAGTCTTACAGCCCCAAAAGATGAACTTGTTTTGATAGAGGTATTCTGAATTAAATGGAAGAGCAGAGAGACTATAATTTATGGACAAGCCAATCCCGTATAAGATAACAGGTCTGGGATTTTGGCGCGAAATTCACCTATCTATTTGGATAAATAGTTTTGGCATCATAGCTGATGTCAGTTCGTGATGAAAACCCGAAACCTAATCCCTAACCTTAATCATCAACTGTAAATTATAATTCCTCACACTGGTTTATAACACTCACTTGGTCATGATTATTTAGTGGTCACTCTAAAGGTCAGTCTAGAGTCACTCAAAGATCGTCAATAAATTAGTCTCACCGGAAAAGCTACCAAAATCGAAATTGATCTTGAACTTTGAAACAGCTAAAGAAGGTAACAATGATGCCAAACATAAGTGGAGTACAAAAAGAGGAGTTGCCAACGGTAGCAAAATCATCCGTTCTACTCTTCGCTGATGACATAAAGATTCGGAGACCCATACATAGTATGTCGGATAGAATAGTATTACAGGACGATCTTAGCTCATTGGTGGTATGGTTAGACAGGTGGCCACTAGAAGTAAATCCTAATGAGTGTATTGATGCAGTTAAATAACTCTGATGAATCGTATGACGATACACTACGTGGATTCGTGCTACCCAAAGTAAGAAACTATAAAGATTTAGGAGTCATATTAAGCAATGATCTCAAAACGACTAGTCACTGTAAGGCTGCTGCTGCGAAAGGCTATAGGGTATTATGGTCAATTCGTAGGTCTTTCCAGTATTTAGATGATGAAATGTTTAGATTACTATACCCGATTTATGTGCGACCACATTTAGAATACGGGATTCAAGCAGCGTGTCCTTGTTTCAAATATGAAGCAGATATGCTAGAAAGAGTCCAACGACGAGCTACTAAGATGGTACAAGGTCTATCTGGCCTATCTTATGAAGACAGACTGAGACACCTTAACTTATTTCCGTTATCTTACCGTAGAATACGGGGTGATCTAATATTGGCCTATCGTATACTGAACGATGACCTTGATATTAACATGTCTTATCTTTTGCTTCCGTCTAGAACCGATCATTTGAGAGGACATTCGAAGAAAATTCAAAAACCGAGATCAAACCGTTTACGTCTGGAGTTCCGTTTCTCGCACCGAGTAGTGAATTACTGGAATTCTCTACCGGAACACGTTATATCAGCACCGTCTGTTAATATATTCAAAACGAGGTTGGACCTCCACAGTATTACAAACTGCAAGGATTAATATAGGTCGATAGACCTATCCTTATTACTGAAGACTGATATATATCAGACATATATATGTCTCCTAATCATTCACGTTATAGGGAACTCAATTTCTTTAAACTCTGGCGATTTTGATCGGCAAGCCTCACAATCTTCAACAATGACACAGATAAAGTCACTCTTAATTTTCCACCCGACCTCGAATCCAGTATGCCTTTATAGTCTCTTCTATTTATTGCCAGCACATTTCACATTACAAACAGATGATCTTAAAAATTATGCTTAAACTTTCTGTCATGCCTGGTGTGAGAATGCCAGGTAGGTGACCAAATGAATATAAATTAGGAATTTAGCAATAAAAATAAAAACCAGGACCGCCGAAACTGCACAAGCACTTTTTACCTCCTGAAGACCTTGAGGTGGGTAAGGTCATTGGGCAAACATTCTCGATGTTTAAAGTTTTGTTTCAACTTTCAAGACATGTAAAGTATCCGGCACTTTCGCATAAATACTTCATAAAAATATAAAGTCCCGATGGCTCAACCAAAAATGTTGGTGACGCTGCCGAACTTCCATCGGAACAGTACTTTCGGACATATCAACCTACCCATACAAACTACATCGAAAAGGGCTTCACTTGCAACTGATCAGGAATCTCAGAAGTAGGCCTGAGCACTGACTTTACGTATCGAAAGCTGCAGCACCTAAGCCAGGACACTGTAGCGGCAATTAAATCCCCAAACTCAAGTCTTTATCATTTGATGCCAACCTCATTATTTTGAGGGACATTAGGTGTTATTTTTTATTGTTACTTCTTTACATATTGTGATGCTGTCTCCATATTTTCGAATATCTTTCTTGTTTTTCATTGTCACACTTTATATTTATCATGGCGGGACGGACTCCTAAGTTACTTAAGAGTAAGACTATCTCCTCACTCACTTGAGCTAATTCCACTTTGGCCCGACAATATCGAAGCCACGCAGAAACTGACATCCATAAGCGTGACGCGTCAGACCCACATGCTCAGTTCTTCGCGGCAGTGAAGTCAACGAGTACGTCGCCCCTAGTAATTTGCTACTGGTGTTTGGGAACCTTACGAGACTTTAAAAAAGGTTATTCTTAAGCGCAGAGATATGATCGACCGACAAAGGTTAGACTAGCTCTTCTATAACACCAAGCTGCAACATGGCTCGGGAGCAGAAATGTTGGTGCGAATGTGAGAGGTCATTTGTCAACGAACTTTTGACGAGGACTTGTTTATACAGCTTTTTCTAAAGTGCAGAAAACCCTGGCATTTTCCGAGCTCCAAACCGACGGACACGAAATTTCTTTCGGGGAGCGTCTTAGCAAACGCAAAATAATGGCAACCGTAGCCGGCGGACGTAGCCGTCTGTTTTATATCACTGATGTAATGACGAAAGCTCGCTACGTTGTCAACATGGACAGAAGTTAGCATTCTTCGAGCAACGACCGACTTCACGAACACTTTTCAACTTACAGGTGGCAAATGGCAAACGGAACACCACATATGGTAGGCGATATGTTTACGTTAACATGAAATTACGCAAACCCGTTCACGAAATCTTCGTTGTTGCAGATGTTTTTGTGTCAATCATTGGTATAGATCTGTTACGACACCATAATCTACTCACTAACACGCGCAAATGGAGGCCAGTAGATGTAGCTACTAGATTTTCTGTTTTTGTGATCTGTTTCGGTTGTAGATTGTTACTCTTCGGCACATAATCAACCCACACTACCAGCGGATACTCAACAAGTGCTTCAAACTGTACCGAATGCGACCAAAAACTGTGCATAACCAAAAGTGTTATACATTACATCTCGACCACGGGGTCATCTGTATTCTCGAAAGCGCGACGACCAGTTTTCAAAAAGCTGGGGTTGGCTATAAACAAATTCAACCACATGATAGACTAAGGGATTATTCGGCCATCAAACAGCCTATGGACACTTCACATGCACACGGTCTCTAAAAAAGACAGCAACAATTGGCGTTCAATTGGTGACTATCGGCGATTGAATGAGAAAACCATTTCTGATCGTTACCCGTTTTCTCATGTTCACTATTTGACAGCTACCTTGACAGCTACAATAATTTTTCGAAAATCGTCTTGGTTAAAGAGTGTAACCGAATTCCCACGGCTGATGACGACATTTATAAAACCTCTATCATCATTCTTTTTGACGTCTTCGAATTTTTACACATCTCTTTCGGCTTAAGAAATGGAGCACAAACTTTCCAGGGATCCATCGATGATGTTTTTAACGTCTCAACTTCGTACATGAGTATGTTGATTGCTAGTAATAAGTCTTGTCAATCGAACGCTATATTCGTTTTCCTAAGCTATTCTGATAACCCGCAGTCTAGAACTACACAGCGACTTGAACACCAGAGAGAAGACACAAGTATGAGAGAAAATACTTTATCCCAAGGTTCATTTTTGTACAGAAAATCATAGGTATTTATAGATGTTGGCGTCTGTTAAGTCAACATCATATTTCACCCAATCCGTTAACGACATATTATGCTGCCGACCAATAGTAGCACGGCACGTTGGAACTCTAGAACGTTCCATCATACTCTGATTGGCTAGGACCCTTCGGCTCCGTTCGGGCTTCTGGAGGCTCCGTTGAAGTTCTCCGGAAGCCAACTCAACAGCTTGATTACAAGTCCAAACAGAGAATCTCATCTTCAGCATGTAGACCTTGTTTTTGAACAACTGTAAAATCACGACATTACTGTAAACATTCAGGAATGTCAAATCGGCACCGACTCCATGGGTTTTCTCGGACACACTATTGATGCTTAATGCATCAGCTCTCTGATAAGCAATGTGGCGTCCATTCTGGATTACCTAGAAGCAACCACAGTCAAGCAATTACATACGTTCAACTGCCTGGTAAGTTTTTTTATGATTCATACGGATTTGTGCATCTTTCACATAAATTCATGGAATTGCGAAACTCATGGATTTGGATGAAAATGGAAAGAAGTGTTCTCCATAGTTAAGGAACACATCGCAAAGGTAACTATCCTTGCACACCAGGACACCGAGGCACACGTCAGCATCCGACCTAGCAGTCAAAGGAGTCTTAAAGCAATCGGTTTATCGCACCTGTCAACCATTGGCATTCTTCTGAAGACGGTTTGGTGATACTGAATCGAGGTAGAGCACGTTTGGTAGGGAACTACTAGCCATGTAATGTGCTGTACGGCACTTTCAACACTGTTGAAGGCCGAGTATTCACTCTATTCACCTACCAAAAACCCTCGACCTCTCCAAGCTCGTCTTCAGACAGGAACTCCCCTTGAGAGTCTCGCCGACTGAACAACAGTTCGCAATTCACTTCAAATATACGACACCTTTCTGGGCCAAACAATGTAGTTGCAGACCACTTGTCCTGTATAACTTTCTTGAACGGTTTCTAAGGAATCGACTTTCTTCAAGTCATCATGCTTCACAAGTAAGACACTGATCTTCAGCACGAGTTATCTTCCACAACCCTGAAACTATGTATTCAACAACTTGGGAGCGGGTAAAAAACCATACTATGTGACAAATCCAAATGTAGAAATCGTTCAATTATAATAATAATAATTTATTCTCAAATAACAGTTTGTTACATGAGGCATGCCAGTTTACAGGCAAGATCAAATTGATACAAATGATACAATATCCACTGTAGTAAATTACATAGTTGGGTTGATAATTTATAAGATATGAACGTAGATGGTTTTAATCAGTACTACAGTTGGCGCGCTTCATGAAAGTTGCGTTGCAAATGTGCAACTGATGGTCAAGGATAGGTCCATTGAAGGTGGCAGCTTCTAAATGTCGCAACCTTATGTCCCTTTGGAATATCTAAGGCTTTGAGGATGGTGCAGGATGAAATCTTTCGTTCCATATCACAAGGGGGCTGAAAGAGGGAGCAAGTAAAAGAAAGGACGAGAGGCAGAGTAGCCAATATTCATGAAGGAATGTTTAAGGTATGATTACTCAGTCTAATTTTCTTTTATTAAGGTATTTGTTAAGAAAGAGCATTTTAATAGGTTAAAGAAAATAAGTGTTAACAAGGTGTGAGTGGACATACAACTGACAAACGGAGGTGATTCAGGAAGGAGTTGAGAGTATGGGGTTATGTGTGATTATAAAATATAGTGCTAGGAACAGTATTGTGATATACAATTGGCTGTCTTCCTTTTTTATCGAAGCTATTGGAGCCCTTTTCATTTTTTTGTCATTATCTATTTCTTTTTCAGGTATCATAGGGTCTTGAGTAGGCTTCGTACATTAGCGAAATATCTTTTACATCTTGGAATATATTGATGAAAGCCATCTTGAATTTGTTGAGCTTGTCAGCATTTCGAAGGAAGGCTGTATTAAATATTTGTAATGTTGTTTGTCCAGTTGTCCAGTGTTTTATTAGCTTCAGTTTTAAATTGGCCACAACCAGGTGGTGATCTGGAGCTATATCACCTCTTTTCTTGGTTCTCAGGCCTTCCATTGTCCTCCGGAAGTTTTTACTGATGCACATATGATGTATTTTGTTCTCCATGGTGTGGTCTGGTGAGGCGCATATAGATTTTTGTATGCGTTTTGTGGGAATATTGTGCGGCCTATGACCAATTTGTTGAATGCATATAGGTTTGCTAATCTCTTCTCATTTTCATTTCTTTCTCCAAGTTAAGGTCGTTCAATGGTATCTTCATACTCGGTGTTGTCCATTCTAACTTTGCCGTTTAAATCTTCCATCAGGATAGTCAAGTCCCTTCCTGGGTACCTCTTTACGATCAACTGCAGCTATTAACAAAACTAATCGTAATTGTCTTCAGTGCTATCATTTGTGGTTGCATAACATCAGATAACATTTCATGTGATCCCCTACTTCATTGTTTTGAAAGATGCTCTGACTATCCTGGATCTGGGAAATTTCCTTCCTCTGAGTGATTTTTGTGCTTCTTTGGACAGCATCTGAGCAACTCTCTGTGTGTGGAGCATCTTCTTCAGCGTAAACAGAGTGCAGTAGCATCTCTCCCGTATCTAGCCTTTGCTGTCCAGCGTGGGTCAAATGAGCTCGGCTGATCCCGAGAGCCACCAAGTTGGACCGTCTCGTTTCCATAGCTACTTGGTTTGTTCTCTCGGTCTTCCACATTATCCAGACGTTCCATGTGTCTATAAAAATTGTTGTTCCAGTTGTTAGAAAAGGAATCGCTTTTGTGACGCCCGAAGAATCTCGGCTTTCACCATGATGCCTCATAATTCCAACTTCACCTTGCAGGGCAGAGACAAAGTGTTTATTCTTGTTAGCATTTTTTAGTAAGGTTGTTTCCTACTGGATGGGCTTATCAACTCTACTCCCAACCTCTTCATTTGTGTGAACTTGGGACCCGCAGTAGCATTAGAAGAAATACAGGCGGAGTTTT